ATCCGATAATTACCTTTCTCTTTCCCCGATGCAGAGTCCATATTCCCGACTTCTCCGGGCTTTCTGGGAGAATTTCATAAGCGAAGTCTTTGACAGGATCCCTGGCGAAAAAGGACCACATTTCCCCCCGCTTCTCAACCTCATCAAACACAGAAACACAGCGACAGACCTGCACGAACTGCAGCCAGAGGCGGCTAGCTGCTGTGGCTAATACTAACCCGAAATGGAACGGATGAAAAATAACTCCGCGAGAACTTTGATTTCTGCACATTAGTTCCGGGATTCAGTTCCGGTCTCTTCTCGAAAACAGGACCTATGGGAAATAAGTCAAAAGAACCACATTAATCATTATATAAAAAAAAATAAAATTCCCTTCTCACCCACCGCGGGTGGTTCATATCCTCTGAGCTCGGGTCCTCTACCAGAGGCCTGGGAGCTTGAGGGTCCTGCAGTATCTTGGCTGTGCCAAGGACTGCACATTTCTGGACTGAGATGTCTGATGTTGTTCCTGGGATCTGTTGTAGCCACTGCTCCAGTTTGGGGGTTACTGCCCCGAGGGCCCCGATGACCCCAGGCACCACTGTGGTCTTCACCTTCCAGGCCCTCTCCAGTTCCTCCCTGAGGCCCTGGTATTTCTCCAGTTTCTCGTGCTCCTTTTTCCTGATGTTGCAATCACTTGGTATTGCTACATCTACCACAACGGCTTTCCTCTGATGTTTATCCACTACGACAATGTCTGGTTGGTTCGCCATTACCATTTTGTCTGTCTGGATCTGGAAGTCCCACAGGATCTTAGCTCTGGCGTTCTCCACCACCTTTGGGGGTGTTTCCCACTTTGATCTCGGGGTTTCCAGTCCATATTCTGCACAGATGTTTCTGTATACTATGCCTGCCACTTGGTTATGTCGCTCCATGTACGCTTTCCCTGCCAGTATCTTGCACCCTGCTGTGATGTGCTGGACTGTCTCAGGGGCCTCCTTGCACAACCTACACCTTGGGTCTTGTCTGGTGTGGTAGATCTGAGCCTCTATTGCTCTGGTGTTCAGGGCCTGTTCCTGGGCGGCCAGGATGAGGGCCTCTGTGCTGTCCTTGAATCCAGCTTTTTCCAGCCATTGGTAGGATTTACTGATATCATCCACTTGGGTTATTTGCTGGTGGTACATCCCATGTTAAGCATCTGTTGGTCACTTTCCCCTCAGCAGCTTCACCCAAACAGCAAACTAAAAGCAAGAAACCGCAGGGAGTTGAACCCCGTCCCGACCAAGGTCAGGAGTGCCACCACCGGAGTCTTTTGCTTTTTTGTGCTTGCTATAACTTGGGCAAAAGCAAAACCTGGAGGAACAAAAATTTGTTCCTCCAGGAAAAGAAAGCCCCTCGGGACTGCTGCTCTAATCCTGTTGACCATGGACTTTTCTCTTGATCATGAGGCTGAAACTAGAAGACAGAACGTTTCCCCGATCCCAAAAGTTTCCCACAATATTGTATTTGACTTATTCCATGATATCCATTTATAGCCATATAAACAAAGCCACGATACCAGGACTCCAGTTCATACGCAAAGCCAATCCCATTTGCAATGTGGCAGGACTTGATGACCAAAAGAATGCTTCTAAAGCTGTAATGGGATAAAAAAGAAACAGACAGTTTAAGGAACCCCTTTCCCTCCCCCCCATATTAACCCCAGACTATTATTGGCTAAGCCAAATAGGGTTTACCACATCGATACGCAAAGGTGTTGAATTCTTCCACATATTTAAGTTTGCTCCCTAGAGACTGGCTGAACTCAAGTCATCCTGTTACTCTGCTGATGCTTAGGCTGCTTGACTCAGTAGCACGTTTAGCTGAACGAGAAATCTGGAAGGGAAAAAAAAGAGAATAGCGTTGCACCCCCCAAAGAAACCCCTTACCAGTAGCTACTGTAACGTTTGACAACGATTTAATGAAAATTATGTTGCGTTGTGCAAATTAAATGTTATGCAGAGCTGACTTGCATGCAACATGTTGAGTTACACATTTAAGCAATGGGGGGGAAAAAAATAATCTAGGGAACCAAAATTACTTAACTTAGCACCCACGAGACTGAAGAGATGCAGTATTAGAAACAAGCTTGCAGTTCTCGATCTTAAAATGACAGGATTCTCAGTGTCCATCACAGGTTAGGCCATCCCAGAGGAAATTTAGAAATTTGGCAATTTGACCTGAGAAACCAGAGGGAAAGAAAAGGCACACAAACACAAAAAGAGCAGGGCTTCTGCAAAGGACGCCAGGGTTGAGATTTAAGCTCAAGCGGACAGGGAGGGGTCGGTGCTTCATTCAGAGGGTCACACTCATTTGTTGACAGCTTCCACAGATGACTTTGCATTCAGAGGCAGGTGAGATCGGAGTGGACAGACGAGAATGATCTGAAACAAAGTGATCTACACAACACACCCACCACACATTTGACACAATACAAAGATTTGTGTTCTACTCATGTGGTTTTAAGATGCAAAGCAATAAGGCCCCAGGGCCAAAGAGGTATGTACTAGTAAAGCATTGTTACTGATGATTTCAGGTTAACATAAAGCCAGTTCCAAGATGTTTTGTTTACTACACATTGCAAAAGATTGGGTAAGATGAGCCAGCTTCTTACTACATGCTCCAGGTTAGAGGACTTCGCTTGTGCTTCTGTCTTGTATTTGGATTTCTGTGAAGAAAAGTGTAGGAACACGCGCAACCAAAACATGTGCATGTACTAAAGCAACACATTTGCGCTGCCTTTTGCTCCAAATATGAGCTGCACCATGCACAGCTCTCCTCAGCACCTTTAATTTGTTAAATCTGCACAGTTGCGCATTGTAGTGAAATGGGAATAACCTGCCTCTTGCACAGTTGCACAAGGGCTGGTAGCTGAGGACTAATTATTTTCTGAAAACTACAAAGATCAACCTGACCCTTTCTGAGCAAACTGCATGTAGGTCATGTTCAAAGGGCAGGAAGATTCCTGAGCTGTCCAAGGTAGACTGCATTCTTCCTTTGGACTTCTGTAAGATCAAAAAGAGAGAAGACACCCCTGCTCCCTCCCCACAGTATCGTAGAACTGACTGTTGTTATCCTTACCCAAATGCTTTACTGCAGATAATGTCAAATCAATGAAGCCTCCGTGTCTTCCTCTTATCACAAGACTATCAAGAAAGCACAACAGTGCTATTTCTGCAATCAAGTATAGCAAGTTGCTTTCGTGGCAAGAATAAACAACGCACGAATAGTGCACTTAAGATTGCCCACTTTGGGATGAATATTCATCTTTCCAAAAGTCATTAGATGATTCAACTTATCTGCCTTCAATTTCCACTTTCATTTGAGCCCAGGTCACATCCGTGCTCTACACCAAGCTTTAGTCATACCTGAAAAAGCACAAGAAAAGCTCCCCCACACAAGCCCCCAAAAAGAACAAATGCATTCCAAAAACTGTAATCACAACAAGCTATGCATTTATTGTGCAAAAATAAAATCCTTTACAGATAGTTCACTCGTATTGTCAATACAAGGCACAGCAACTAATTGCAAAGGAATTGCAAATGGAGGCATCTAGCCAAACAATGAATGTTAAAGTAAATGTGAACACATTTAGTGAGCTTACGTGACGCTTGATGCGCAAGGAAACTTGTACAAACAATGAGTTAGGAGAGTTCCTGATGGTCTTGGGTATTGGAAAGCACACGGGACACAGCACACTGAAAAATGCAAAGGAAAAAAGCCTTCTCCCCACAAACCCTTCAAGTATGTACAAAACTATAGGACAAATGCTGTTACACCAAGCAATTGTCTGACTTCCTCGACTGAAGGGCTTAATACATTTTAGAGATGGATGGGATCATTTTCCACAAATAGTATTTGAATACCACAGGCCTGTGTACTGGGAGTTCCTTCCAACAGCAGATGTAGACTTGGGTGTAGATTTAAGTGACGGTTGGGCCTTTACATTAATCTGCAAAAGTCAAAGATACAAAACCCCCTCCCACAAGGCAACTGCAAATCAAAAATAAGATTACTTCTAGTAAGGAGACTTGTTACCGCACTTTGGGACAAAAGCAGCATCTCTAAATCCAGCAGACTAGCTTTGTGGAGATGCTATCCCACATGGCAAAGTTTCCACTTGATGCTTGTTGGGTACACCTGGATGATTCCTATTCAAGCCTTTCTTATATTGGCAAATGAGGAGCTGTGAAGTCTAGGAAGAGACTGATTAACGCCCCACAACCCCCCCTCACATTAAGCTCCCCAACAAAGTACCCCCCATTTCAAACATAATGGTCCAAGCAGGAAAATGATGAAACTGAATTGATTTTGTTAAATACAAAATACCTTCCTACACCTTGTTAAATCACGGTAGTTGCATATGATCCCAATCCTTAGCACTATAGAACGCAAGATGGGCTCAACTTGTACGGGGTTGGCTACCACCAGGGGCTTTCGATGAACTGATGAACTGCTTTAGGGGGGCATGCCTGTAAAAGAAAAACTCCAGACACATTTTAAACACCCCACATCCCCCTCCCCTGAACCCATTCAACCCCTTTTAAAAGCGAAGGACGATTCCATGTCATTTGAGCGCAAATATTACAAAGATAATTACTTATGTACAGGATCGTTACACCACATGTACATTCCATGCATTGACTCACTGCTTGGGATAAGAGGTAGTTGTATCTTATCTGTACCAATCAGGGAGATGACAATGACGTTTTGCAGAACACACCGCATTGGTTGAACAGATGACCATCCACTCTCACAATCCAGTGCTGTAAACTTCTCAGAAGACCTATTAATCGACATTGGGTTGCCTTTCCTTCCAGTTGGGGGGGAGAACTATTGACCGCAGGGAGTTGAAGTCCGAACAAGTAGCTCCTCTCGCCAGCACACAACCAAGGCATTCATCACAGCAGACACCACCAATATCATGTCAGCGCAAGAGGAGATGTGACCACCATACAAAACGCTTTACACGCCTTGCCTGAAAAAAGGAAGAGAGAGCTGTGCGAGAAATTGTGTTCTACAATCATTTGATAAAAGGTGGTAATGAAACCAAGCTTCTGAGTGTTACAGAGATACCTCAGCCCAGAATACAAACCAATGACCCGCTTTACACTCCTGAAGCTAGAGACTGCGTGCCCATCCCACTCTGGAGCTGCTGCAGCGCTGGCCTCTCATCTACTCTGCCCTGTGCTTCTGGTGCCCTCTGCAGACCTCCCGATCACATCGCCTCCCTCTGCAGACCTCTCGATCGCCTCGCCTCCCTCTGCAGACCTCTCGATCGCATCGCCTCCCTCTGCAGACCTCTCGATCGCATCGCCTCCCTCTGCAGACCTCCCGATCGCATCGCCTCCCTCTGCTCCTGCCTCCACGCCCTCTGGCCTTGTCCTGCCTGGCTCGTCTCTGGTCCTCTCCCGCCCTCTGGCCTTGTCCTGCCTGGCTCGTCTCTGGTCCTCTCACGCCCTCTGGCCTTGTCCTGCCTGGCTCGTCTCTGGTCCTCTCACGCCCTCTGGCCTTGTCCTGCCTGGTCCCACTCTGGTCCTCTCCCCGTCTCCTACGATTCTGTAGCCACGCTGGTCCTGAATCTTCAGATTAACAAAGTCCATTCTTCCCCACATTAACTAAGTCCATTACTCCCCAATAACTCAGTCCATTTTCCCCGAAAAAAAAAAAAAAAAAATCTTCTGTCTTCTGTAAGTAAAAAAAAATAAAAAATTTCTTTCGATTGACTAAAAAACTTTTTTACTTTGAGAACTAAACTTGTGATCCACTCAAGATGAATACAACTTAGCCATTATCCTGTACAAGGCATTCAGCTTTTTTTTTTTGAGTAGAGAAAAATAAAATCAAAAATCTGAGTCAAATATGACTTCATTTAAAAAGAAAGTTTTGCAAAAATAAAAAATAAATACACCGAACTATAATACAGCTTGATTAAAGTGCAACAGTATAAAAAAAGTTGTTTTTCTTTTAAGACAAGTTTTTTTTGTTTTCTTTTTTTTAAAGACAAGTCTGTTTTTTTTTGTTTTCTTTTTTTTTTAAGACAAGTCTGTTTTTTGTTTTCTTTTTTTTAAGTCTGTTTTTTTTGTTTTCTTTTTTTTAGTCTGTTTTTTTTTGTTTCTTTTTTTTAGTCTTTTTTTTTTGTTTCTTTTTTTAAGTCTGTTTTTTTTTCTTTTTTTTAAGACAAGTCTGTTTTTTTTTCTCTTTTTTTCAGTCTTTTTTTTTTCTTTTTTTTAAGACAAGTCTGTTTTTTTTTTTTAAGACAAGTCTTTTTTTTTTTTTATAGGTTAGGTAACGAGCCCCAGGTAAAAAGAATTGCCTTTAAGTCTTCTCCAAACTGCATGTCAATGTATATAGACAAATTCATATTGCATTTAGATAAGTAATTGATATAACATTAAGTTTAAGCGTTAGAGCAATACAAAAAAAAAAAGATCTGAAAGGCTCACCACACAAACAGAACTACTTGTTTTCTTTGGTTATGCTACCATAAACAATGGGGGTTATTATTTGTTAACTGCGTTGGTAGCTCAACACTGCGATAGGCATTAGAAAAATTAACGGATATGTTAAGACTAAGCCATTTAAGTTGGGCAAAAAAGAAAAATCTCAAAGGCTAACCAGAGAAACACAACTACTTGTTTTCTTAGGATATGCTATCAGGTTATTATTCGATAACTGTATTGGTAGATCGAAATAGCAACAGGTTGATATGTTAGTATTTTAAGCTTTTTAGTCGAATAAAAAAATATTATAAGATTCACCACACAAACATAACTATCGTTAATTGTATCGCAGCTCGAATATGCCACAGGCAAAATTAACTGATAAGACTTTGACCCGTTTAACTCGGAGATAAAATATCAAAGCCTCATCACATAAACCCGACTATTCGTTTTTTTTTTTTTTTTTTTTTTTAAGTTATGCTACCGTAATTTTTTTCCGTTAGCTTTACCGGCAGCTCAAAATTGCATTCGAAACATTAACACACATGTTAAACCGTTTAAGTCGGACAAAAAGAAGAAAACTCAAAGACTCACCACAGAAAACAAACTACTCGTTTTTCCTAGTTTATGCCACCGTAAAAACCGGGGAGTTATTTTCCATCAACAATCCGCAGCTCAAAGCCATAGTTGGGCATGCGCCTTGAAACATCCCGACCACGCCCCGCAACTTTCTGCCCATTACGTCACGGCGTTATTGTAAGTCAACCAACGGCCATTTGCCAACTTTTACGTCACGGCGTCCATATTAAGACTACAGCCGTTAAGAATACTGACCGAATTAAAAAAAAAACATTTCTCGAAAAACAACAGCTTAAGCCGATTTCTTGTAGAAAGCTCAACAAAAAACATTTAGTCTGAGAAAGCAAAAGATAATCAAGTAATGTTAATTTTAAGCGTTCTGAAACGACGTTTTTTCACACCAAGCTAGACGTTAGCTTAGCAATCAAGTTAATTTAAAAAAAAAAATCAGAAACCGCTTTTAGCTTAATAATAAGGTCATTAGTAGGTAATTAATGACAGATAAATAAAAAAGCATTAGAAAAATAACGTCTATTTAGACTGGAGCCAAATTTGAAAACGAATGAACGGTAAAAAAAAAAAAAAAAAAACGACTTATAACATTAAATATATTGTGCTACGCAACTGAAAAAAAATTAATCTTCTTTCTAGAATGATCTTTTTTTTTTATCAAAAAAAGAAAAACGCGTCAACCTGTACCGTTCGCCTGCCTCCCAACGTGTAATCTAGAAGTACGTCGATGTTTTGTGAAACGAAATGGCGTCCTTGCTATTTATATACATTTGCTCCACGTCATTCGTCCAGGGCAAGATTATTTGTTCATCCGCCGAAAGTAGTTCCTTCTTATTGCAAACAACGATGCATCTAGAAGCGAAATGTAATGAACTATGTTGTTGTAATAACTGCTGTAATGCCAGTTATTACAACAAAACTGTAATAAATGACATGATACAACGAACAGTTATTATCTAAATGAAAACGATTCCATATTATTGTGTATCTATTCAAAATACACAAATCCATTAAAGCATGGCAATAACACAACTGAGGTTGAAATACAAAAACATTTTTGCTTATTATAAAGACTGTGCTTACATTATTGAGCTTATGTCACGATTAAAACATTTTTAAATTAGTCATTTGTTGCCGTTCTTCGAGGATTTTTTTTTAAAAAGAAAACAAATCAGCCGTTACTGGCTCCGCGGACCGATCTCAACACGTGCATGACAGGGCTCTTCAGAACCGGTTGAAACCAGAATGTAGCTGGTTGAGTAGTCGGATCTACTTTTCTTTTTTTACTGCATTGATAAGCAGTTTGTTGTGATTAAAAAACAAAAGAAAACAGCAGACTCATTACTTTCAACTTCCAGGGACAATATTCAGGAGTCGATATTTCCATTTTTACTGAACTGTGCCTTGCTGCCTGTAAACGGTTTCTGGTGTTTGCTATTTTTTTTTAATCAAAAGCATTTTCTCATTCGCCCAGGTCTCCAGAAGCTCAAATACTGGTGCTGAGTGTTGACATAATGCTTTTCTTGAAGATAGGAAATGTGTTAGCAATGTGTAAGGGGGAACACAAAGCAAGCTGGAAAACTAGATAAATCTAGAAACGTCCAGTGTCCTGTGGCTGTGAAAATTGTGGAAAACTACCAGTCAAATATTGTAGTTACTTTTGTTCACCAGCAGGGGGTGTCTTAAAACACGTGCTATGAGTCACGTTTCTCCCAATGATGAAAAAGCTGTTTCTCTCTTCCCCCTTGCTTTTCAATGCAGAATTGGGTTTAGGGTTGATTACAATAGAAGAAACAAGTCTGGGCATCTATCTTACACAACTGTGTGTATTAATGTGTAACACCCAATTGATCAGCACCAGTTGGAGGCTGGGAAGTATCCTGAGGCCTCGTTTCAGCCTCACCACAAAGCCAATAAATTGATCTCATTCTCTCCTAAACAGGATAAAGTCAAAGCTGTGCAGACCTTTGAAAGAGAGACTTCAAGCCAAACAATGACTTGTAATTACCATTACTGTGCTGAAAGGTTATATTTCTTTGCAATGAGTAAAAAATCTACACAGATTATCTTTAAAGTGACAGCTGTGACACCGCCTTCCAAAAGTATTCAAATCCCTTAAACCTTTGTTACACTTGGTCACATAAACATAGAACTCAGTGTATTATATTCTGATTTTATGTCAGTCACAAAATAGTGACTGTTTGTGAAGAGGAAGGAAAATAACATGACAATCACATAAAAAAATAAATCTGAAAAATCTAATCTGCATATATACTTAGTCACCAATGTTTTGCCTCATTTACAGTTGCAAGTCCTTTTCAGCATGTCTTTACCAGCTTTGCAGATTGGACTGAAATATTTGCTGATACCTTTTCCCCCAAAAAACTCAGTTTATTTAGAGTAAGTGGAAAACATCTAGATTTCCATCTGGTAACAACTATGCCATTATAATACAAGAATGTGCTAAGATCCAACCCTTTTAACATACCCCTCACTGATTATCCTGCTGGAAGGTGAGGCTCCCCCACATGTATTTTGCAACCTCTAGCATATTTAAGTGGAAAGTTAGCAATAGTATGATTGCACTTGTGCCACACCCTTTCACTTTTGGATAATAAATTGAACAGTGTCCATTAAGGTGCATCAAAGTGAAGAGGGCTCAATACAAATGAATACAAATCTTTATTTCTAGAAATGTTTAAAAAACAAAAAGGGGTATCCTCCTTTCAATACACATTATACCCTAATATGCATTGATTCATCACATTAAAGCTAAATAAGGTACACCAAAGTATTGCGGTTGTAATGTGACATTTCCAAGATATGGAAATGTTAAAGATGCATCACTACTTTTGCAAGACACTGTGAATAACAAAGTGCTATCTGATGTGACATAGCTATATTCACATTTCTACCAGAATTTGAATTGCTCTGTTTGCAGTCCTTGAATAATAATTTATTAAAAAAACATTATGTTAGCAATCAAATTCACATATCTGCAAATTATGCTTAAAATAAATTGGTGCTATAAAGGTTGAAAAAATATATATAAATTTATGTAGTGAGATTACATACATGGGTTTTGAGTGTGATTATGCCTGGCTCAGCTACAAGCAGGAAATCTCTTAAAATCAATGAGAGGAAAAGCAACTCAATAGTTTTGGTTGGATTTATATGCACTTTTTGGAAATAAAAAAAGTACAACTACTTAAAAAAAACCAACAAAAGTATTGCATTAAAACTAAATGAATAAATATGAAAGAGATTTAAACTTGAAGTTGCATAACCAAGAGTCAGGTTTATTAGTGCAAATAAATAGGATTTATATAGATTTAGTTTCCTGGGGCTTTGGTCAATTGCATCCTCTGTGAGGACAAAGGTCCCACTCTTGGTTTTGGTTCGATGAGCATCCGGCTGCTCATGCGTGATGAAAAATCAAGCCACTATCCAGGAATTCATTCATCCCATTATTCTGAAGTCAGATGTTGAGGGAGACAAACGTACACAGGAGGCATACAAACAATCCACCTCTCTACTAATTACTCAAGAGGGCTGTAATTTTTGTGGAGTGTTTTATTTAATTATTTTGAAGACTTTGTAAGTTTATTAACTAGATTAGATGACCTTTTTAGCAATATCTGACAATATGCGTATCAGTTTTTGGAAATGGCTGTGAACTTGGGAGCTAAACAATAGTCTTGACTAAACAATAGTCTTGAAAACCAGGGTAAAAACAGCCACAGACTAAGCAGCAGACATTTAATATCCTGTGGCAAGACGGGATCTGTAGCTTGGGAACCAGGAAAGAGACACATAATGGACAAGTTCTTCAAACCCGTCCACAGACCTTCTTCAGATCAGACTAAGAAACAGAGGAACCACCATCATCATCACCAAGACACTCGTTCACAGAGGTAGGAGGGTTATTTTTACCCAAAGAGAAAGAAAAACAGCATCTTCATAGTAAACATAAAGCTGAAATCAGATGTTTACATGAACTGTTTAGAAATAGGTTGTAATTTTTTCTCACATTTTCCTTTTTAAACAGACTGCTCTCTTCCTGTTTATGGTCATTACAATTAGCAAAATTATTTTATAGTCAATTTTTAGAACAATGATAGAAATAATGTTTTTGAGCATTTGAACTTTTGTTAAACTTGCATTTGATTCCTTAGCATTTGACTTGTTGGAAACATTTTGGTTAAAGCATTGTCTTGTTTCCTTGAATTCTTGCCCATTCGTCACAAAGTGGTATAACTGAGGGAGTTTGAAGGCCGTCTTGTTTGCACATTTGCCCTCAAATTTTCAGTAGACTAAGATCGGGACTTTGTTGCATTATTTGCATCTCTGTCTGTTTGGAGGACTCATTCATGTCCAAGATTTAAAATCCTAGCAGATGAACTGAAATGTTGCTTCTGTATTCACACATAATGTTATTTGAGCATGTTAGCATCTATTTTTTAAGGCACACCAGTGGCTGCAGCAACAAAACACCCACACAAGTTAATTTACTTCAAAATTGAGATGGTGTTCTCAGCAACGCAAACTTCCACCTTGTTTTTACTGTTGTAAAAATTGTTAGTATGATTAGTTTTGTCAGTCCATTGGACATATCAAACAATGGTGAGCATGCATGATGGTGCAGGAGTTCAGATTGTTGCCTTGCTTTCTCCAAGGATCCACAGAAATTACAAGGGTGTAGAAATGGATGAATTGATGGGTGGATGGAAAGATGTTTTGTAACTCTTGTATCATGATGGCTTTCACAAATTGTTTAGTAAGATATAGACATGGTAATCTTTGCTGTATTCAAATTTCCAACTTTGAAGAAAATATTTAAAAGTAGCTAAAACGAAACTCACCGACATTTTTCTGGCATTCAACAAATAGAAAAAAATTTGTTAATCCTAACTGACTTTAGTCAAGAAACATTCACTTGTGTTTTATGTTCTTTTTAAAGTATCTGTTGAAATGTGTTTTTAACTTCATGTGTGGATACAATTGGCTGTGTTTTTTTTTTTTTTAATTTGATGTAGGTATACGAAGCTTGATGACAGTGACAGACATACAGATGACAGCCGGGGGCACCATCGCCGCCACCAATACAGTGAATATCTCTATGACACCCCCCATCCCGATGGCCAGTATCTGTATCAACAAGACATTGAGAAACTTTACGACCACCGCACTTCTGTTACCCTCTCCAGGGCCTCTTCCTCTTCCCTGTCCTCCACTTCTTCCTCCTCTTCCACTTCTTGGTACACAGAGACAAGTGCTAACAATCCCTTCTCCCTTCAGCATGCTGAGAGGCCACCGCATTCCCTGTCCTGCTCCAATATCTCGGATGTGCGCAGAGCTTTCAGAGATGATGACAGCAGCGAGCCCATTGTCTTTGCCACTGTCAAGCACAGCAAAAGGGGCAACACTGTCAGCAAGTTGGACGATGGCTCACACCAAAGCAGAAGGAATGATCTCTACGACCTGAACAGAGGTCACAGTCGAAGTGAAGAAGGGCTTCTGCAGTGCAATGAAATAGATGGGGGGAAAGGACGGTCCAAAGTGTCAACAATCGACCACGGGCCCTTGTATAAGACAACTAGTCTGAACCGAAGCTTGGCTTTCAGTGAGGAGGACATTGTTTTAGGAGTGCCCAGGGGTCCTATTAGGGCAGTCTCTTCGAGTCAGTTACCCAGCAAGGGGATACTCAAAAACAAGGAGAATAACAATGACATTCGCAAGGCCAAGTCAATGGAGGTACTTTCTCCAAGAGTCACCACAGGAGAAGGACAAAGTGGGCAGAAAGGGAAAGGGATCACTCAGGCTGAGATAGAGCAAGCACGGGCGAACTTTGTGGCGGGAAAGTTGCAGTTCTCAGCTTTTTTAGATGAGATCACAAAACAGGTCATGAGTCCTTCCCAACTCTCCATCTTTGGCGTGAACACCAATAAAGCTACTGAGAAAACCCCTTCACCAGTCCCCAAACCTGAGCCGGTCAAGCCCGAGCTTCCTCCCAAGAAGCACAGAAGTGGGAAACGGAGTGACACCGAGCTGCCATTGAAGCAACACAGCAGGCAGGTGAAACCGACCATCGGCTCTCGAAAACATTCAGACTGCTCCGATTCGGACAGGCTGACAACATATGCAGCAAGGAAGCACCGCGGCAGCCCCCCACCTCGTCATTACACACCATCTCCCAGCCAAGGACGGAAAGACATGAGGCCCTCTCCAACTGGAGACTCCATGTCAGGGGACAGATATGGCAGATATGGGCCTCACCATACAGATGGAACCAGCACCAGTCCTGAACCAGCCCAACCCAAGCAGCGCCACCACCATAAATACTATCCCAGCAACTTTCAAAACCAAAACCCACAGACCCAACACTTCCCCATGCAGACGCACCATGAGGCTGAGCACGGAGGGCCGAGCAACTCGCCCCCACACTCATCCCAGCTTGCAAGACAAGGGTTCGGCTCTGAGTCCTCATCCACAAAGTCCGACTCATCCAGGGGCCGAGACACTGCCTCCACGGCTACCAGCTACAGCTCAGAGCAGGGATGCCAACACCAGTCACAGCCCTTGGGGATCTCTAAGCAGCACCGGGTAAGCTGACACCAATAAAGTGTCTGATAGTTTCAGCATAAAAAAAATCTAGCTCTTAGCTGACTAAAATCCAACTTAAGGTTCTTCATCTGAGCCGTTCCTCACAATTTTCACCCTTTAAACCCCACAGGTGTGACCAGGATTAGTTTTCACACGTTGTCTTTACACATAAAAGAAAAAACAAAGGACATGTTTTAAAAAAGTCCACAAAAATGGTGTTTTGACTAAAGTTGTGCAATGTGTAAGCAACCAAAACCAGCAATGCCAACCTGTTTCAGTCTACAACACACATTAATGTCAGGTCAAGTCACTTTGGCAAACAAAGCCTGTTCAAACCCAAAAGACAATAGCCCACATTGACCTAAAGTTTATTTGAAACAGAGGCCCACTTCCGTTGAAATGAACAGTGAACTCCACATTTACTGCCACCCTTGATAAGGATGTTTAAAATGTTTCAAAACAAGTTTTTTTTTTTGCAGTACCAAATAAAAAAATACAGAGAATATGTTTTTCCCCATGCTCTGGATAATCGTCGAGCCTTGTTTCCAGTTCCGGTTTCTTTTAACTTTTTAGTTATTTTCACTCAGAATAATGTAGGCAACATAAACAAACATCTGCATTTCTTTCTTGATTTAGAACTGTGTGTTAGTCATAAATTTTCTGAGATAAGGATTCTAAGACACCATCATCAGTTTAATAATAATACACAAATTTTCTTGTCTTTCTCTTTTTTAAGAGACATTGGGGTAGATGTTATGAATGTCATGGGTCAGTATTTAAAAGTTAATTGATACTCTAATCAGTTTAGTAAACATATATTATGAAAATAGACATATATTATGAAGATAAACATAGAGGCACCTTATTGGATGCTCATGTTTTTCCCATTTTAGAGAGAAATTGGCTTATGTCTTAAAGTTGGATGGATCACAAAATAAAAATTTTGTCACACTGGTGTTCTCAATAAATAAATTATAATTTATAAAGATCAAAACAAACATATATTAATTGAATGTGTTCTCTTCTCTTTCCTATTTTGAAGGGAAGTGGGCCTTTGACGAACTTATTAAGCATTCATTTATTATTTCTTAATAATAAATATCACTGTTTTTTTTCCACCAATAAATACAAATACCAAAATTAAAAGTTGAGTTTTTCAAATCTTGTGGTTTGCATAATAATTATATTTATAATAAACATGATAATTTGTCCACACAAGTTCAGAATTAAGTAAATCAAATGACTCAGCAGAATAAAACTGTTGATTATGGTGTGAAATTAGCCCAGATGAAGACAGATATAGCACCAAACCCCTCTGAGAATGAAGTGCCTGAGCAAATTAAAAGCAACGTTCCTTCTTTCTTGCAGAGGCAGTGCAGCTGAGTCAGAGGGTATGTGTGGGATGTGTCAAATACTCCGCATTTCAAGCTGACTCATCCTCCAGCTATGCAGCAAATGACTCTCCTGTGCGTCTATGGGACATTTCCTTTGAAAAGCTCTAATTTATCACTATTGTGACGTTTTGTTTGTTCCTGAGGTGTTGCTCCTTCTGTTCTCTGAAATGACTGTGCATTCAGAAAATGAAACAGCATTCCTACACCATTAGTAGCTCATTCCAGATACCTTGATGAGAACTGGTATGACAATAATTTTACACATCATTATATAAGACTTTCCTTTCTTTCCATGGGGTGTTGGAACTTGCTCATGCATGATGACAACAGGAAAAACCGGGGAACATTTTAGTCTCACAGAACAGATCAATACTTGTGGGACTCCAGGCATTATTCAATAATTCATTGAATCTCTCAGGTCCTCAGTAATGTGGTCGAGGCGTGTCCTGGTTATACAATCTCTGTTGTCCTTGTCGTAACTCTATCCCATCTCTGTTTGCTTGGTAATGGTATCATGTGAAGCCAGTTCTTTAGTTATAGGTGTTGTCATTTAAATCTCCAAATCTCGTGAGGTCAAGATAAATCATGCAAACTGTGGAGCTGAAGAGCTTTGATTCAGCCACAGGGCTGTAGAAATAATCCCTCCCAGATTCAGATACAGTCAGAACATCTACAATTTCATGAATCTAAAATTCTCTTAAAACATATTGTATGATATTTATCAGAAGCCTTCTGTCCTTATATTTTCTGCCATCTCTCACTTTGTGTCCACGTTTTCTTGTCTTTATTGTAGAACATGCTGTGCGATCCGGACCACCTTCAGTAAGTGTCCTCTGTGTTTGTCTTTTTTCTCTCTTGATTCGCTCTGTGTGAGAGGATTTATTGATCTATTAATGAGTGTTCTCTTGTTTAAAAAAGGAGGGGGAGATTTTATCATGGAACTGATTTATGTAACAAACTTGATCTCATTAGTAATGCAGTCACATGAAAGGAAAAATACTCAGAATGACTTTATGTATATATATATATATATATATATATATATATATATATATATATATATATATATATATATATATATATATATATATATATATATATATATATATAAATTTTATATGTTAATACTACTATTTGCCACGATGTCAGAGATGACACTATTCAAATACTAGATTTTGTCAATTTTGCTCCAGCAAAGATTTTTTATTTATTTTTTTTGCAAATTTGTTCATTATTATATATTTACAAGTCAGAAATACATTTCTATACTATGTCCTAACTAGCCCTCCATACTCCTGCTTTGAAGAACATTCATTAAAAAGCAGAAAGCCAGATGACGGTTTCTGTATGATCCTTGATTTTATTCCTCTATTGTAAAAAATAAGTCTTTCATTGGTACTAAATATGTCTTGTTAATGTAGTAAAAACTACACTAATGTCCTTTACCTGATTGTTTTTACACAGGAAAAATCAAGGGGAGATCTGCAGTAAACAGTCCAGTTTTAAACAGTGAACCAGAGACAGCTGCAGTGAAATTTTGAGTTTCCAGTCAGAAATACATAAAAAATGGTTAGAAATGCAACAAAAAGCAGGAATTCTGAGTTGTGGTCCTAATAAAGCTTTAAAGTTTAATCACCAACCTGGCTGCTGCTGGTTGGTGATAACACTATGTGTAGGTTTCAGATATGAACTATCAGCTCTTCTGACTGTGTCTCTCTTTAAACCAGTGGAACAGATTGTGCTATTCAGTCTTGTTTAGCAAACATTTTTCTTCAGTTGTTTTTATTCATAACAGTAAGAGGAATACATGACATCTCTTTGGATTGACATAAGCAGCACAATGACTTGCAACCAGAACACATTCAAATCAGCTTCGACATACTGATTCCCTCATCACAGTCCTAAATTACGAGATACATTAACATGTATGAGTAGTTTTGGTTACAAACTAAAAGCTTCTACTTCTTTTATAATATCTTACAAGAAAAAAGAGTTTATTTTCCTCTTTTAGAGAAAACCCACTGCAGTGGGTTATCATGGTAACCATGCCCACTTCCAATCACAATTACAACTGAAAAACATTTGTGCTAGTAGCGATATTGGGCCAAAAATGACTCCCTCTTGTTTTTGCAGCTCCAGGAGGGAGAACATTATTTTCTGTTCTTGCAGAAAAGGTCTTGGCATTAAATGGGAAACCTGGTCTCATAGTGCGCTGGTCTTGTATTCAGAAGTTGTGTTTTTTGAATCCCAAACCAGAAAAGAAATAGGACCAATTTAGAAACTGAAATTGTTCGTCCTGGTGAGTTGGAAGTTCCCCAAAAGTCCCAAGGTCAGATATTTCAATATGTCTTTCTCTTGCATCAATTTCAGGAAAAGAGACTGAAGAGTTTCATGTAGAACAAGCTCGATACAGTGACGTAACGTCCACCTCTAAAGCTGAACTTCCAACGTAAAAATGCCCTCAGGAAACGATATATAGGTTTGGTTGAAGGCCTAATGAGAGATTTCTGTTATGGGGAATAGATTTGTCCTCAGAGTTTACATTTCAGAGATTTCTCACATTGAAGATCTAGGATGTCCTCAAAGAGCCTCTGAGTTAGAAATCCAGTACAAGTTTTACATGTATACAAAGCTTCAACATTTAGAGATTTGTTATTTGATTGGATTGTATCTCAGGAAAGCAGTGGTCAGAACTAAATGAATTCAGAGGTCGTTTAGTAGATACTTCTTCAATATCCAACATGGCTGCTCTATGTATAAAATGTTGTAAAAATTTTGGGAGTGAACAGTTCCTTTCTTTTGTCTGTGGTGTTCCTTCTCTGTTTATCCATGTTTTTCTTTTCATGCAACAGAAATATGTTCTGCTAACAGTTTTATCTCCAATGATTTTCCAACTTTGAAAGGGAAAGCATTGAACTCAGATGTGATGCCAATCCTAGATCCAAATATTGACTTTCAAGCTCCATGTGAATGTAGCATTAGTTGTAGATTAGTTGTAGACTGAAAATGAAACCAGGACCTTCTGGTTCATCGGACTCATAAACTACAAAACTGAAACAGAAGGATTTCTTATGAGGGATTTCCTACATGGAAAGTCCCCAGAGTTTGACAGAGCTGCTGCATATCTAAAACCTTTGGACTGCTTTTATGTCACAGGTACACAGATCTGAAGATTATGTTTGTGCTTAAATTACTGCTTAAATGTGTTGATTGGAGGCAAATACATTGCTATTGGTTTGTAATGCTAACAGCAGTTAGCACCTCAACAACGAGACAATCAAACTGATTGTAGCAGCTACTATAAAGCCCAAATCTCACATCCTGCCACCAGAACATAGTGAAACCATCATAATTCAGATGGACACATGCAATAACATGTGATGAGCATATTTACATAACCTAATAGGATTGTAGGTAAGAGAGTTTAGGATTTTTGCCTGTTATCTATAAAGAGTGGTCCTTTCTTTAAAATGACTCTATAGATAAAACTGCTATGGATACAACAGCAGGAGCTGATTAAATTTACCCAGCAATAACTCAAAACAGAATGCTTGACAATATCCAAGTGTTACTCAGATTTTCCTGATATCCCTTAGACCTGTCTTTGCAGCACAAAGCAGACATCTCCAGTCTTTATTTATGGAGTCAAGCTGTCCTCCCCTCCCCCATCTCCGTGCTCAGGGCGTTGCAGGAGGAGAATGCTGATCTCCACCAGAACCTGCTGCAGACCGTGGTTTGCATTGAGAGCCTGGAGGCAGAGCTGCAGAGGACCAGAGACGAGCTCAGTCATGTCAAGGAGAAATATAAAAGGTGATTTGTGCAGATAAATAGGGCAGATCTTTAAATGTGCAGGAAGGTGACACAAAAAATACCACATATACGAGACAGTTACTGTAATGCAAGGCCTTGCACAAGGATGTTACAGATTAAAGGGTCTCTGCAGCATTCTGCATCAGCAATACGAACCATAGAGTTTTACTAAATTAACAAAGGGAGGCCAAGCAAAACCGTCCAGACTTGCTGGTCAGGCCCAAATCTGTTACCAAACAACTGCTGCTGCATACTAAGCACATGCCAGTCATTCCTCAGCATGCTGCAGCTACTGGGATGAATGGTTGCCTCACACTGGGCTCCAGTTGGGAGTCATTTGTTGCACATTTATTATTTTTAAGTGTCCGTTTGTTGCTCTCAGACAGCTGCCATTACATGTCCGGAAGCCCAGCTTAAATAATAATTATGTATTTATTTTCTGTTGTTACAAAGCCTGCTGCAGACACATAGTGGGACAAAAGAGCCACATAATCTTCTGGGAGAGCACCTTCACAAAGCGGTGAGACTTTGGGTGCAATAATAATAACAAAAGGATGAATGTGTCTTGTTTTGCAACTTGTTGCATTAAAAGCCTAATGTGTTGCGCTATTCTTCTCTTGTGTGTTTGCAGTCGGAGAGCCTGAGCAATGAGAGAACATTTCTGCTGAATCGCGTCTCCCAGCTGGGCTCGGAGCTGAACGACGCCCACAGGACCATCGCAGCTCTGGAAAACATTAATGTGAGTATACCGCCTCCTAATGGACACTTGTGCTCACTGCAACTCAAGGTCAACTAAAAGCTGGGGAGAGGGCCCTAAAATCGCTTTTAAAAAGTAGAAAAACTCTGAAAAGCCTACTACTATTTTACCAAAAGTAAAGATAAATCACCAGTATGTGTTACATCTGCGACTTCACTTTTACTGACTTTTATTACAACCAGATACCCATTACTGCTAATATGAGCCTCTATTAAATTCTTTGTTTATTTGCATGATTCATTAAGGTAAAAACATTTAGATTTTATGGCTGATAATATTTTTTATTGTCTTTCTCTGAAGTTGTAGAGTGCAGTAGCTACTTTTTGGTGCTGCAAATTCCAACAAATATGAGCTAAAAACACAAAATGTTGGAAGTTATACATCAATACAATGACAGCATGAGGGAGTATGATTTTCATAAATAGAAGTTTATGCTGGAATTTCTAACAAATAAAGAAATCTAACATGTTTGCAAAAAACAACATAAAAATATATTTTGTAAATCTTTGTAGTTTTAGCAGCCTGAGGTTCTCGGCCATTGCTTAGGTGTGAGAATGTGAAAAGACAGCTTTAGTTTTGTCTTACTCAAATTTGAACTTTATGGAAGAGTGACAAGAAGAAAAATATTGCTAGAAACAGTTAGATGGAGCTAAGTACAAGGGAAATCCCATGAATCGGAGAGTTTAACACGTCACGTCTCAGGTTTAAATGTGTAAAAACAAAAACTGAAAACCCTAATCTTGTTTGGTCAAGTTCTAAAAACTTCAGTAAGCCGATTCATCTTCGTTCTTAGTTTATTAAAACAATGAGAATTTGGGGACATTTTCAAATTGCCACAGCGAGAGTATGTTTTACCGTACAAGGATGTATATGAGAGCACAACGGTTAGTTAGTCCATAAGATGGCCTAACTGGTTTCCTGTCCTAATTTGATAATCATTGACACATTGTATATTGAGTTAAAATGGTCCAGATTCTGTTCTGAACAAAATGTTTTTGTTCAGAACAGAAAAGGTACACAGATGATCTGACCAGAGTGTCTTATGAGCTGATGGCTCTTCTTTGACCCAGCTTGGTGTATTTATCAAACACACCGGGTCACAGTGATCGTTCCATGCTCCTGTTTCCTTCAACTGGCACTCATACAAGTGTCTATATATACCGTCCTTTCAGGCATCCAAATCCTCCTCTCTAAATGAAGTTTTTTTCTACCTCAACCATCAGCTAAGCAAATAAAATGCATCAAGATTTGTGACTAAAATGTAGAAAACATAACAGCTCTTTTGCAAGTTGTTTTATGTCAGCTAAGGTTAAAACACTTCTTTAACATTCAATGTTATCCAGATTTTTGTGTCTCTAAGTCATTTGAAAAGGTACAAAATCCAAAGTGGACATTTTTATTGAGTAGACAAGCTGTTAAAAGCGCAGGAAGTTTTTATTCTGCTGATCCCACATCTTAGAGTCAGACTCTTTGTCAGGTTGTTCCCAACCTCTATACTCTCTGCAGCCACTTTGAGGTGGACTGGTCTCACTGAGTAAGTTATCATTTTATCAAACAAAAAAAAAACAACAAAAAAAGTAAATAAATAGTAAAAATGTGTTGAAAACAATTATGCTTGATTTTTATTTGATTTTGTTTTGGTTTCTATACACCGAAATCAAAAGTTATCTCACAGGAAAGGTGGAGATGGGTGTAGACAAAGGCTTCACATGAAATCATCATGAACTTGAACAAATCCTGAAGCCAAACATCTTTATGTCTTAATTATGGTTCAGGAACTGAGCATTTTGAATAGTTGGAGATTTCTTCTTGCTGCAGAGTCAAAATTAATCTAATTTAAAGTAGAAAAGGACAAAACAACAAGGTCTGTGGGCTTTAAGTGTCCAGACTGCCATTTGTCAGTTCTAGGGAGCCGATCAGGACTTTATTTCAAGGGAAATTGAGAGAAAAGTCATGGATGCAGGGCATTAGTCTCTTAGTGACTCTTTTAAAGTCTCAAGTAATTATTTTTTATGCTTATTGTGCAAAAGTTTGAAGTATTCTTTCATATATTTAAAATTTATTTTCAAGAAGCATGAGTTTCTTGTAATGTAACAAAAGGCAAAAAAAGGTTATTTCTCTTTTGTATAGCATAATTATTGATGGAAGAAAAACAAACAAACAAACAAAAAACAATTAATCATCACATACACCAAAAAACACAAAGCATTTCACAAAATAACAAAAGCTTGAGACATTGTCACAGTAAAACAAATAACACAATTTTAGCAAATAAAAAACCCAAACTTGATAAAAAAGAAACATCAGTTGTTGCCTTTTGCAGAAAAGCTGCTGTCTACAATAATGATTTTAAAGAGCTTCCATTTTCTGACGATTTCAGGGAATTGGTTCAAAAATAATGAGCATAGGAACTCAGTGCTGCCTCTTAGTGTTGGTTCTGGTTTTGTGAACAAATCTCTGATGACCTGAGGGGTTTGCATGTTTCATACCTGAAATACATTTTGACCCAAAGCCAACTCACTGCCTTCTGGATCATTAGCACAATTTTACAATCTATCTGGATCATTAGCACAATTTTACAATCTATCTGTTGACAAACAGGACAGGATAGTGCAGGAAAATGACTTGAGGACTTGTGTAAAATAATTTTCTGGGGTTAGTCAGGACTCTGGATTAGATTTGAACTGATAAAATTTCAGTGTGACGTCTTCATGTTCACCTTCTTCTGTGGTATTTTGCTCCAGGAGCCTACTTCAGTTTTATCTTCTAACCTGTTATTTTCTGCATTAAGCTGGAGGAAATTCTGACTCGTTTACTTAGTTTATATTGTACAAACTGATTCAAAGAGGACAACCAATTTGGACACAGAACGTTATTGGCAGAGATATTGCAGAAGGTGTTGTAGTTCTCCATAATCTTTAATTAAAAGATATCTTAGTACATTGCCTTGAGGTACCCCACATCTGAGCTGAGTTTGCTATGATTTTAAATGACTAAATGAGACAAAGATTTATTTATTTATTTATTTATTTACAAGTCTGTCAAATAAGACTATTCGCTGTTGAGACATCCTTTAGGTTCTTTAATAATCCATTCCCAGTGCTGTGAAGTAATTTAAAATCTGATTGAAAACCATGAAGGATCATTTTTTTGAGATAAACCAAAATTTCAATTATCTTGGACAAAAACATTAAATTAGATAGAGACTGATGATTAATTATCAGGGAAGCATCCAGATCAGGGTTTAATGAAGTGATCCTGATCTATCTTTATTCTTGCTTTAATTTTTTTTTCCTCTACATCATGTTTTTTTTTATTTCTTGTGGGTACATCTTCAGGCTTGGTTCTTCTTTGTCTTTCACTTGTTCACCTTCCTTAAACTTAAGCATAGATCTCACAGTCAACGCATGAAATGTTGAGCATTTCTAAACATTTGTTAAAATGTGGAAATGTTAAAAATGTTTGTTGCACAGATGAACCTCAAATATATGACATTAGTTCCCTACAGGTCTTTCACAATGTCACATGCAGTTAATTGCAACATAATACCTTTGATTTCTTTACAGATTCACATTAAGACAGTAGGGAATTAAGCTTATTACAAGTGGAAATTTGAATTATACAATTAAATACGGTCATGTGTTGTTTAATGATGTGATTCTGTATTGAAAGGTCCATTTTTAATGACACTTGTTCAAGGTCTTCTGAAGCTTTTCCCAGATTCTATAATAAACCATTTTGATGAAGATTTAATGAGATTCACATGTAGTATGTGTGCTCCATCTTGATTGGTTTGGAGAAAGTATCATTTGTGTTTGTAACTTTGGTCTGCTTTATTCCTAAATCTGAATCTGGTCTTGTGGATGTCTCTCAGCTCCAATTATCTACGGACTGAAGATTTTCCTCTTCCTCTTAACAAAATAAACTATTGTTGTTGGGATTTAGGTATAAACTTGGGGCATTTTGACACATGTATATACTTTGACCTCAACTAGTGTTCTTCAAAGTGGGGGGCCGCGGTCCCGTTGAGAGCCACCAGGGGGCGCTTTGAGGCCTCAGAAAGCTGGAGGGAAGCTTTGGAAAAAAAGAAAGAAAAATTAAAATTTCATTCAAATACTTTTTTTAACCACAACTTTTTTATAATAATTTTTTTTCAAAAAATCTTAAAATGTAATCTGTTTTCAGTCATTTTAATAAAATATAAATTGAAATAACTTGCTGCATTATCGATGGAAATACTTATTGTATTCCTCAAAATTGCTGAGCAAGTGCTGAATGGACAAGATTTTAACAATATGAAGACCAAAGGAATGCCCTGCTGTAAAAAATCATTAGAAACTCACAAAAAACGTAAATCAGAATGTATGAAGCAGCATTTAAGCTGAATAAATGTATTGCTTAATTATGGAATAGTGAAAAAAGTGAAAAAATAATTTTAAAAGTTGGTGTTTTTTACATTGTGTGAGAGTTTGCAAAGGGGACTTTGCCCAGAAGCTAAGGGGCCCATGACATGGAGAAGTTTTGATCTAAACTCTGTTGTAGCTCCAGTAAACCTCTGGGATTGTAATTAATAACACATGCTAGTTATGCCTGTTTTTTACAAGTGATGTAAAAACCCTAACCCTGAGATCACTTTCCATGACAGAATGTCACTAAAAATACATGCATTATTTTAAATTACTTTTTTGTCATTAATTTGGGCACGAAGGGCTTTTTTCCCCCCTGTTTTCCTTCGAATTCAGCATCCTACATCAGGAAATGTATCCATCCACTTTTCTGAAAAAGTTTATTTTCTTTCTTTTAAACCTAAAACAGAAAGAGACACGGCTCTTTATAAATGGCAAAATTCCCAAAGTACATATTTATCAACATTTATAAGTTTTCTATGTTTTAAAAGGTCATGCACCATTTGCAGCGCTTGCAGCAAATAGTTAACATGTGTTTGGTTTCTTCCCTGCAGGTGCCAGTTTTGGTAAAAGAGCTCCTGGAGAAGTATTTTGGTTCTGCTGAAGCTATTCAAAATTTTCTCACAACCTCTTTTCCAACCAGCCAGGCCCAGCAGACAGATGGCCAATCCTGCGATCCCAAAGCAGAGGAAGCAGCCCAGGGTTGCCTGAGCGAGTCAGAGGCAGGTCGGCAGAGGGTCACGGCCTTCATGCCGATTAAACAGGCTCTGACCCCAGCTAAAAATGAGGGCAGTCTTCCAGGCAAGCATGAGTCCACTCACAGCCCATCGTTCTCTCTGGCTGACATGGGAGCTGTTTCCTATAAAACCACAGCTCCCAGTAATCCTGCCAGACCACAGCCTGTTTACCCACAAACCCAGCAGCAGTTACTGCGGAGCGTTGCCCACACCGACACCGCTCCAGACCCTCAGCACGCCCACGCAGCGGGTGACAGATGGGAAGGAAGAGGAGGGTTGAAGGTGCTGCTCTTTGAGCAGGATGCAGGGGATGTGAACTCCATGTCGGCCCAGCAGATCCTGGATGATTTCATGCATCATCTGCAGGCACACAAGGAGGCCGGGGGAGGGAAGGAGCAGCAGAGTGGGCAGGAGTGGATGAATGGGGTGGAACAGGCAGGGAAAGTGGGAGACTGAGATCACCGTCCGAGGAGTTTATTCCTGTCCTAATTATTTGCCAGCAGTGATTGTTCTTTAGGTGGCTAAAAAAGTCAGAGGGTGGGTGTAGATTTATGTAATTAATTCATGATGTTGTGTTCGTAGAGTTTTATATAGCTGAATAAATCCGGCACTTGAAGGTTGGAAACAGAAGGACTTTCTGTTAATTTTATGGGATTTGTGCAATGTTAAGTCTTTCTAACTGAGGGAAAATACAAGTTTAAATAGAAAGTTGGCAAAATTCTAAGAAAATCTCTCAAACATGTTGAAAAAATATTTGGAAACCCTTGAAATGAGGTAATATTTAAATCTAAACTCTTTAATATGCTGTCAGTTCCTATTTTTTACCTGTAAGAACTTCTCCTCGTCTTGGAGAGGTTTTCATAGAGCATTTCATTGTAGATTGTGTTTTCATATGTTCTGCAGAGTATTTATGAGGTCAGACACTGATGCTGGATGTAAAGGTCTGGCTGGCCTTGGAATCTCTATTCCAAACCTGATTGATACCTGTTAACATACAACTCATGTCAACGCTAACTGGATTAAAGTCTGGATTATGTCAATGAGATGTCATAAAATGAATTAAAACGTTTAACTAACTCTCCAATTAAAAGTGGAGGCCATATACTTTTGTTAATGTTGTCTGTCTCATCATATGTAATGCTTTTAAAATACTTTCCTGTGTTAGCCAGCACTTTAATATGAGTTAAGTGTGTGAGTAAAGATGAGTATGAATGCATAGATGTACATACTTCACAGAATGTATAATTATTTAACACAATGGTCCTTCCATGTTAAAATAATAGAGGCTCTTTGCTGTTTTAGTGACTTTGATGTACAGTAAAATATGAATGTAATAAATACAAATGGATTTTCAAGCTGTAGATTAGATAAAGAGCAAAATTAAAACGATTTTAATCTGTATAATTTCAGAGTTTCTCTATTAAATGTGCACAGTGTGTTAAATCTGTGTGTTTATCTCACTGCTACCAATGAAGATGCTTGTAAATGGCTTGGAATATAAATTTATACCCATTTATAATTTGTTTTGATAATCATCAACTGATCAAGCAGATTTAAGTGAGATTAATGTATTTGCAGAGCACAGTTTTATGGTTTTTATTTGCAATGTACATTTGTATAAATAAAGATTTGTGTTGTTCTTAGCATGAAATACCAAATGAAACATTGGGGCGTGAATACTTTTACCAGAAACTGTAAAAGTTGATAACATACAACTCGCGTCAAGCTAACTGGAGCTCTGAGTCAAGCTGTCATAAATACTTAAAATGACAGTTTAAGCCAATTGGTCCCACCTCACAACCTCCCCACACAATTCTCTGCAGGGATAACTCCTCTCATACTTTCACTGTTAATGCTGTTCAAGAACAGTATAGACTTGTTTTTTTAATTAATAAAAGTTCATTCAAAGTCCAATTATTCCTAACTAGAAATCAGAGAATTGATCAATTCAGATCATTTTCACTCAAAACTGCACATCAAATCGACTTGTTTTTATGTGAAACAACAATCAGATTGAGATCAGTTTTGTTACTTAGTTGAAGAAATTACTCAGGCTTTTACAATAAAACATGAAGGTGAATAAATTTAGCTTTATTGAGACTCTGACAGACAATAACCCTGCAATCTTCAAACAACAACAAAGCATTGTCTGTTTCTTTGGCCTCCATATTGCTCAACCTGACAGGTTTCAGGTAAGGCCCACTGTAGATACACACCAACAGACTCGCCCATTGTGATGTGTCCATCAGAACAAGTTTGCTGATCAAACACTGGCCTGCTTTCCAATTGGCCCCTGGGTTTAATAGGATCCTGGAGACTCTGATGGGGGATTACGGTTCCAAACTCACCACTTAGCCCAGTCTCTTTCACCTCCAAACATGGCTGCAGCGGTTTAGGGGGGCGCCGCACCTGCACAGACCCAGTGGGGTGCCATCAAAAGACAACATCACATCACAAGGAAGAAATAGGTGGTTTCAGCTTGAAGGAAGGGGGGAAGACGGCCTTGTGAAAAATCTTTAGAAAAACCCTGTAAACTCTGGAAACGGATTATTATCTCTTTCATCCTTATTTCGTTTTCATCTTTTTTTCCTCTTTAACTTTCTGCTGTGGTCTCCACACCAATTTGGATTACAAGGAATCTTTTCGGCACAATTTCGCCAACCGAGTGAAAGAATTTGGATTATCCTCTGAGGTCGACTGCGTCCTTCAACGTCTCAAGGATCTACCTGCTTATCCGCTCCACCTGGAACAACTTAGATGAGCTCAACCTGCTTATAACACACCAAGCAAAAGGCTTGCACCAACAACTGATCACTCCAGCTGCAAAGTTGGTACGACACTGAAACCACTTTCCCTCTCTATTGTGAGCTCTGTCAGTTTTTCAGCACCCGTGGAAAGACTCCTTATCTCACGTTTCTCCCTTGTCTTTGTACTTATCGTTGCATGGTAGTAAGCCATGGCGCTGCTGAAGATGAAGTTCAGCCAGCAGAGGCGGGTGCGTCTGGCCCAGGGCCTCTGGCTGCTCTCCTGGCTGGCAGTGACGTGTGGGTCCTTCATCTTTTGTCTGGGGGTTTATCTCAAGATCGAGCTGCTTCGTAGAGACGAGGTAGAGCGACTCTTACACTCACACGGATGATGGAGCACGCACTAGACGCCCGAGTGGTACTAAAGTTTAAAAACAACAAATCCGTCTATTTAGAGTCAGACAAATATGTCACTGTTTGCTCAGACATTTGCTTCGGAGTGTATCAGTTTACCGAGGCCGCTCCGCTGCCGCTTATCTATCCTTTAAATGTAAACTTTGCTTAATCCTTCAACAACAAAACAGACAAAATACAAGTGTCAACATGTGCACTCATGCATATAAAGTCATGTTGGGTGCAGCATGCTGAGAAGCTACTTTTAGACCTCAGCATTTCTCTTCCAGAATCATTACCATGCAGTGTGTATTGATTGCTGAGGCGGCCAGCAGGTGAAGGTTACAGCCTCTGGAAGAGTTGTGTGTTTGTTCAAGCCATCCAGTCACCGCATGTGATTGGCTGCTATTGGATTTTAGAAAAAAATGGAATCATTGAAATCCAGACAACTACACAGGAAAGCTGCAAGGCACGAGCGAATGCCTTAGTATATCGATTGATCTCCACAAGGATAATCCAATAGATTAACCCTCAGTGTGACCGGGGTGATGAAGCATTTGAAAAATGGTATCAGGAAGGATTTACAAAAAATATTCAGAAAAACATCATTAGTAGTTTTTTTTTTGTTTTTGCATTTTGCTCCACTGCATTGTTAAAAAGACTGATAATTACAAAGGGAACCGACACAATGGGTATTAATTGTCATAAATTAATTGTCAGAAGATAGCAGTGCTAGCTTTGACAAAAGATCTGTCAATTTAACAAACAAAAAAGCAAGAAACGTTTAAATAGCCAGCAAAGCATATAAAGGGGTTTTGTTTGAGTCATAAATCATTGGTAAAAATGTTTGCGGTGTCATAGGATGTGTAATTGAGAAGTGACAAAAATTGAGGTTTATATCCAGCTATTAGCCAGTAGCACTAATGCTAAGCTAATGCTAAACTTGCTGGTAAAACATTTAAATGCCAACTTTACACTATTATGTGAATGTTTCATGCCTTAATCAAGGCAAAAAAAAAAAATCTTATTTTAAATTTTTTTTAAAGCTTGTCAACAAACCCAATGATCAAAATAATTATAATAGTCTCAGGCTTGAAAATATTTAAGTTTTATTATTATTTAATAATTTGTTGGAATTTGATAAATTTATTTTTATATCTCTTTCTTGGTAAACATACATGAGTTTTTCTCTAAACTTTTGTCTACAGTCAACTATTTTTTCTAATGTTGCACTTATTTGACCAGGAAAGTCCCATTGAGATTAAAAACCTTTTTCTCAAGGCAGTCCTGGCCAACAGGCAGCAAAGGTCACATTAAATTAAAATGTTTGCAAATTGTTTCACTAATGTAGGTTAAGTCAGAGGTGTCCAACTCCAGTGGGCTGCATGTTTTAGACATGTCCCTGTGCTCAAATGGCTGATTCAGCTCCTCGACATATCTCCTAGCTCAGCAGAGGGCTGCTAATTAGACACTCGTTTAATTCAGATATATTAAATCAATAATATCTAAGCAATATTTAAGACACGCGGGACACCGACTCTTGACATTGAGTAACCCTGGGAAAAGTGGTTAAAATCTAATTAGTGCAGGTTTTATAAAAACTCAGCAAAATATCTTCCAAAAATGATGATTGACTGACAATCAATCAATCAATCAATCAATCAATCAATCAATCAATCAATCAATCAATCAATCAATCAATCAATCAATCAATCAATCAATCAATCAATCAATCAATTATTTATCTAATGAATATGATAGTGTTTGAAATACTGAGGAAACAATTGCATTATCACTGATAACATTCAGATAAGTGTATTAAATCAAAGATCAACAAATCAATTATTCAATCATATTTGTGCACTAAGAACTTTAAAAACAAATACTTGACCACAGTGCTGTATAGGAAGCAAAGTAAAACATGACAAAAAATACATTTTTTAATGAATAATGGTAAAACAAAAAGAGAATGGAAAATGTACATCATTAGAATATCTCACAAGAATCAAATAAGTATATTGATTAAATATGTCTTTTGTGGAGGCAAACTGTTCCACAGTGTCAGAGCTGCCTCTGTAAAAATCTTTCATCTCTGGATTTACAATAAACTTCAGCTGCTGTTAGAAGCATCTGATCTGCTGACCTGAGAGTGATAGTAGGAACATAAGCATCCAATATTTCAGAAAGGTCTTAAGAGACTTAAAAGCAAAAAAGAGAATGTTAAATTCAACTCTTTTGCACAGTATTGCAGGTCTCAAATAAAGAAAAGAAGAAAGTTAAACTACAATCAAAATGTATTTTCATCAGCTATCTTAAAAATTCAGTAATAGCAGCAAAAAAAAACAACTAAAACAATTCACAATAATAATGGTAATATTTTCAGGCTATACCCAGCAGAGATCTGAAATATATATTTGATTTAATTATATAATGAAAAATCATACTTCTTAGAGAACACTAAGCAACACAACATTAGCAACATGTTTGCTAATGTTTGCTAACGCTGCACATTAGCAAACATGCTATCTTTAGCATGTTGCTATTAATAGCAACATAATTTATTTCCCTCAAAAGCTATTATTATTAGCTATTATGCTCCCTTTAGCTAATATACCGTTGTTAGTTTTAATGCTACCATTAGCTGAGGTTGACATTCTCATCATACAAGATACTAACGCTAAGTATTTGGCCAACATTAGCATGTTATGAAAAAATAGCAACTTTATCTGATGGTAAGGATAGTTTGTTATAATTCAAATAAAAAACAAGTTTGAAATTAACGGTGAAATCTGGTTTAGCAACAAGACGCATACAGTATTATAAATCCATTTAAAGTTAAGCTGAAATTTGAACAAATGTACAGATATGATGAACTTTGTATGTGTAATAAAGCACATATATCAGATAAGAAAGTGAAAAGGGAGAGAAAATTATAAAGTGACAGCTGCATTCTTTGACTCTTCTCTCGTTCTTGAGGTGATGGAGAACACAGAGATCCATGTAGTACCAAACCTCCTAATGTTGGTCGGCCTGGCCTCGGTTGGAGCCAACTGGGTTGCCAGTCGGGTGTGCCAGGACTCTCTGGATGCCAGTCGCTTCCCCCGCTGGAAGATCCTCCTGCTGGGCTGGTATGCTGTGGCCGCGCTGCTGTGCTGCCTGCTCCTCACTGTGGTCGTCCTCAGTTATGCCCTGCAGGGGAGGCTGGAAGAGTCGCTGAAGGTGAAAGTCCCAAAAACTGGGTATTGATCCCGACAGATCAAGAGGGTGAAATACAGTGTGTCAGCGTGACCTTAATAGGTTAAAAGGGTTAGCTGATCTGAATACAAGATAAAGGTGGAATAGTTTAGGAGAAATGTGCTAAAAGGGGTAAAAAAATATGTGAAAAATATTGATTTTTTGACACATTTGTGAATAAAAATACCAAAAAATTGTCGGAAAAGAAACTACATCCATTGTAATGCAAAGAAAATATTTCTTCACATTTTTAAAACTTCTTACTTATACTCAAGCATCCTCTGTCTGAAGCCTGTTCATCATTCAGTTAGTAAAACAACTAAAACATGCAAGATAGAGAGGGTCCTGGTGACTGCTTCTAGAACTAATGCATTTCCATTTCTCTAAAACATTTTGCAAACTGCATTCTTTGTCGTTAGGTGGGCCTGAGGAACGGCATCCGGTTCTACAAGGATACGGACGTCCCGGGCCGCTGCTTCCAAAAGGAGACCATTGATCGTCTGCAGATGGAGTTTCGCTGCTGTGGAAACAACAACTTCAAGGACTGGTTCGAGGTTCAGTGGGTCAGCAACCGATACCTGGATTTCACTTCTCAGGAAGTCAAGGAGTGAGTAAACACTAACTCATTTCAACATTCTCATCTCAACATAGAATCTAAAGTGATGTGGGGTGTAAGAGAGAGAATTGGGCTGCATGAGTGACAGATGAGTGGACTTCACATCCAAAAAGGTCAAACTATATGTTAGAGAGAGGAAGAGAGGAAGCATGATGTGTGGAGGAGATGGTTTAAAAATAGACCTGGCCTTTAGTTTTGAAAAGAGAGACAGAGAGGTTGAAGCATGAGAGGATTGGTTGGTCAAAGATTAAATAAGTCAAAGGCAATGAGTAAACAGAGGTTTTGACACGATGCCATTTGTATTTATGTGCTCTCCACTTCTCACAAAGCCAAATCTCAGGCCCTTAACATTTTTTAAAAGGTTTGGTTCCTCGTATCTCCTTTCACTTTTAACCTTTATGCTTCTTCATCGTTTTCATTTCTTACTTGCAGTCGTATACGGAGTAACGTCGATGGCCGCTACCTGTTAGATGGCGTTCCTTTCAGCTGCTGCAACCCTGCCTCCCCTCGGCCTTGCCTGCAGAACCAGCTGACAGATAGCAGAGCCCACTACAACTATGAATACCAATCAGAGGAGCTCAACCTGTACAGCCGCGGCTGCAGGCAGGCTTTAACTGACTACTACATGGGTTTGATGAACTCCACCGGACCTGGTGTGCTTTCAGTCATCCTAATTCAGGTGGGCAAATGTGAACAAATGCAGCTAGGAAGTAAATCAGTGAAACTGAATAGTTTATTAGCAAATTGTGCATTTATCTTTCAATTTAAGTCATCATTTTTGCACAGAGATTTAAATATAAAAAACCAGTCGCTGTCCAACCACACGTTCAAAAAACTGCAAACAGTTCTGTTATTGAAGATACAAAGTGACCTTGGCTACAATTGCCTTACAGAAAATGGTGAAGGCACGTTAACAAATCTCATTTTCTGCAATGCAAACATGTCCTAATAAAGGACAAGAGGTTATTTTTGAGAAAAAACATTTTAAACTGGCTATGGCTAATTGTGTGAGGGTATCAACCAGTCTAGGCTGAAATCTGGCAATCTTATCCAAGTTTGTGTCAATGTTGAACAATGTTGGGTTGCCATTGATCAATGTCAGGTGGACAGTAACTAATGTCAAGTGGTTACTGACCAATGTCAGGTGGCTTGTAACCAGTGTCAGTGTGATCTATGTGGCCTATGTCCCATGACCTACAGTATGTCCTATGACGTATCAAACAATCAGGCTCCTACCTGATTGTTTAAGATCAGGTAGGAGCCTAATCTTAAACAAAACATTCCTAGGTCTCTAAATTCAGAAGAAATAAAAACAACCCCACAGTCCTTAGTGACAGGATCACAAAAGCAAAACAGAATCTTATTGCCTTTTTGTCTTCTGACTCACTGCCTCCCATGACAACTAAAACAAAGAAAAAACATCACAGACACACCAGCTACTCTGGTTCCATCAAACATGCGTTGTCATCTCTTTGTAAAGTCCCCGTATTGATGTCACATTCTATTCTCGAGCCCCACAGGGTGAAACAGGAAGTCGATGCACAACCACATAGTGCTCAAAGCTGATCACACAATCCATACTTCTAAATGTAGAACCTGAGTGCTGCAGGTTTTTTCTTCTTCTTCTTCACATTGGGACAGATGGCTGCCATGTTATCGGGGCATCAAGTCCAGCACAAGTTGTTTTTCTGGCTTTGCATCACATTGGCTGCAGCTGACTGAAAAACAGGAAAAGGAAGCGTGACATAAAATCTGATGAGCAATATTGTGTTTGAGTGTTGTTGTTTTTAGCACAACTGGAGACATGACAAGCAAATTCACACCTCCTTTACAATTTCAGCAAATTTTATTGTGTTTTGTTGTATTTAGTTCTCACATAAGACTGCAGTGTCTTACTTTTTATGTTGTTTTTTCAACATAAAAAGTCTAAATTCAGCAAAAACACAACCAGTCTAAAGAATTGTTGCTCATTGGAGTCCTTGCAGTCTGACTGAGTGCAAACTGTTCTGCAAAATCATCAGACATTTTAGTCTCTTGATGTACAAATTTGGAAGAGACATACTCCAAAACACTTTGAGCTGTAATTTGTAATGAGAAGAATTTCAACACGTATACGTTCAGTCACAAAAGATGAAAAGATTTTCATTGGTAAAATTTTTTAATTTTTGACGTTATTTTTTTATTGTACTTTAGAGCAGTGCTGTACTTTGTGATGGTTTGTGTATTGAAGTGTGTAGTTGTAACATGATGTAAATAAAGTCAAGGGTCATGCAAACCATCTGAGTATATTTTTCTCTCTCTCCAGCTGTCTGTGCTCCTGAGCATGCGTTACCTGCAGACAGCCGTGGAAGGAGCAATGGCCCTGGAGTCTCCAGAGGGTGAAAGTGAGGGTTACATCCTGGAGAAGGACGTGAAGGCAACCTACGAGGACATCAAAGCCAAGGCTCTCGACCTCCTAAAGTTTGCCCAAGTCGATCCGGCTTCCGAAGCCACAGGGGCTGAAGAGGGGGAGAAAGCAGCTGGAGCCACGGAGAAGGCTGCCACGCCACCTCCGGCCAGCTAGAACAAGGAAAACAAAAAAGATATAAAATGAGCTGAGGAGGATGGGAGGCTGAGTGGGTTTCTGTGTTTTATTTATTCATTTATATTTTTGGTTGTGTGACTTGGATGGTAGCAGGAAGGACACCTGTTGGGTTTTGAGACCCAACAGGTGTCTTGATTTGTGCTCCATCTATGAAGCAGCCACAGCTCCAATGAACATGACCAGAACAGGAAAACACAAAGGAAAAATAAATCTTCTCTGTGCAGGACTCCATGAACCATCAGAGAATCCGCTCACGAGGTTGTGTAGTACTTTTTGTTTCTTTTCGTTTTTCTAGAAGACATTCAAAATTTATTCAGGTGTAGCATAAACACAGAAAAACATACCTGGCATGTTTTGAGTCAAATTTGGGAAAGTTAAACTCAGGAAGCTAAGTTTTATCCCATGTGCACTGTATTATTCATCTCTCCGCTGTAGTGTTTGTACTGAACTGCAATGAAATGTTTAGGCACTTGTTAAACTGGCACATGAATATTAAATTAAAGGTAGACATTTTTAACTGCTTTGTAGTGTCTGCTTCCTTTTGTGCATATAAAACTATTGAGGTGTTATTATGGGTTATCTCAGTTCGGCAAGCAGAGGCGGATTAAGAGTGTGTGATTATGCTGTATGTGTGAGTGTGATGGCCTATATGAAGCTGTCATTGCATCTATTCTGGCAGCCCTGAAACAATCTGATAATCCCAGCGCGGTTAATCCCAGAACTGCTGCATAAGCGGTAACCAACAAGCCCCTCCAGCAGCACGCAAGAACGCTCACCTTCACACAGAGGCAGCTGGAGCACAGCGATGAAATGTGCTGGCATGAAACAAGAAAAGGGCTTTTTCATCTGCAAAGATGAAAAAGGACAAGTCACGGTGATTTGTCCTATAGGTACAGGTTTACCCAATGTGTGCACAATCTTCTGGAATAAAATTTGTATCACAAAATAAGTTCAGTGAATGTTTCCTTTTAATTCTTAACGAGCATACCTGCAAAAGGCAAGATTCTTTAATGAGGAAACACAAATGGAAATTGGGGCTAATTAAAAGTCAGAGTAAATAATTGATTTCAATATCAAATATTAAAACATAATACTTACTTCCCAACAAAGTAAAGAGCAGAAGTTATTTCCAGGGTAAGTCCGATAATAGCTGCAAATACTAGCAAATATGAAAGAATTATTTTTATGACAGTAAGTTCATTTTTAAAAGCCAGTGTAATCTGGTAATGATTAAATATGTTGAGTATTAAAGTTCAAATGGTTTCAAGAGTTATATTTTGCTTGAAACAAGAGGATTAGAATAACCATTGGGAAATGTTGTAGTTCACAGGTCAAACTGATTCAATTCAGAAATATGTAGTTGAGTCAATTCAATATAGAACAATACAATTATGAATAAAATTTTTGCCTTTCATTTGATCCGAATCAAAAATGCATAATAATAAATATATCAATGCAATAAAATTTAGTTTTTAATTCCTGATAAAATTATTGTATCTATCTAAGTTTTTAATTCCTGATAAAATTATTCTATCTATCTATCTATCTATCTATCTATCTATCTATCTATCTATCTATCTATCTATCTATCTATCTATCTATCTATCTATCTATCTATCTATCTATCTATCTATCTATCTATCTATCTATCTATCTATCTATCTATCTATCTATCTATCTATCTATCTATCTATCTATCTATCTATCTATCTATCTATCTATCTATCTATCTATCTATCTATCTATCTATCTATCTATCTATCTATCTATCTATCTATCTATCTATCTATCTATTCGTCTTGATAAAGAACATTTCCTGAGTGGTTTTGTTACGGAAATAATGATGCAAATCATTTATCAGGAACAAGAAAGAATGCAATTCCATTCCCAACCAGCAGAGGTCAGGGTTACACAGTACTTGATTTACATCCACACGCATTATTGCGGTAAAAAAAACCCAAAACAAAACAAAACAAAACAAAAAAAAAAACAAACAAAAGAAACCTCATCTGAACTTTGAGGCCACGAATAAATGCAGTCATGTTGTTTTCAGCAACATTAAATCAATAAACAACAGGAGTGCTAACAGCATCATTTCAAAGGTGAAGTGTCCCTTTAAAGCAGTTTACAATGATTTTCAGAGAATTGATGAGACATTTCTTGCCACATTTTTGTCATGAACTTTAAAATCCTGCTTGAGTGAGATGACGTGTGCTGGAAAAAAAAGAAAGAAAAAGAAAAACGCAACATGTGTATTTTGAGAAATTCCGCTGCGGTTTTTGACACCAACTGACACAATCATAGAGGAAGACAGAGGCGAGGTGGAGGGAGGGCCGCAGACACGTCAAGCTGCTGCACGCAGCACACGCAGCATGGATCCTCGCTCTTTGATTCATCGCAAAACAGGAAAGTTGATGATATTTTGTAATTACTTCTCCATTTGAGCCCTCGTTAACACAACAATGGAGTCCGGAATGAAGGAGATGATAGAGGAATTCATGAGGAGCGCGCTGGCGCAGTGGGTATGTCATTTATTACTTGTCACCTTGGATTACAGAAAATTTCAACAAATGGAGGAATACAAGGCGATAATGTAGAAAAATGTTTTCTACAGTTTGTGTTCAATCCTAATGAAGCTCCATCTTACATTCAAACATTTTTAGAATCTTCTTGATCAGTTTATCTCACATATAAAATGTCTGACTCAAATAAATGATAAAGTCTCTTTGTTAGATTCTTGATTATGTTCGCAGAGAAGCAAACGCTACTTCTCCTTTTGGCTGTTTCCTTTGCCATTTAATGACCAGCGTTTTTTTCCCCTTCAGTCTGAACACTTCCGTGTCAGTAGAGCTGTTTTGAAAGTGACACCATTCACTTTGCTTTACAAAAATGTGTCACTTTACTACCACAAACTAGGCCAAAAATCTGTTACTGCACAGTTACTGAACTGTGATACCGCTAAATAAATCCAGTGCTACCAGTTTCCTTTAGTAAACAGAGCTCACCTGTTTGGTATTATTTTAAATTTGTGTAAATCCAGCTGTTCTGCAAAGGCCTCAGTGGTTTGTTGGGGAACATGAGCGAACACAGTGGAAAGGTCAGAGGTGAAGTTGTGGAGAGAGGCCACATATGTAGCATTGAAAGAGGGAAAATTGGGATTCAGATCCTGGAAGTAAACTTGTTAGAGGCAGAAAAAGACTTGAGATTGACTAGAGGTTCCTCTTCCAGCAGGAAAACAACCATAAACATACAGATCAAACCACAATTATATGGTGCAGAATAATAATAAAAATAATAACAATAATATTGCTTTAACACATCTAAATCAAATGACTTAGCTACTTCCTCCTGATGGTAACTCATTCATTTGATTCAAGTTGCTGAACTAAGGAGAGATTTGAAGCTTTATTGCTGCTTCAAACATCACTGGTTGAGATCAAATCATTTTCACATGTTAGAAAGGTCCAGTCAAAGTCTGGACCAAAGTTAAATGCCAACTTTATTAATTTCCCTTATAAGAGGGATCTGTGGAAAGAGCTCTTTTCCACCGAACTCTTTTCAGTGGAAAAGTCATTGAAGAATCGGCTGACATTGTTATCTCTAGATGTTCCAAATCATTGTCTGTAACTTTCCGATGTAAACAACAAACCTTAAACTTTGTGCATTTAATGTGACAAAACAATTGGAAGACTTTGAATAGTCAGTGTTTTGTCTCAGAAATAACATGAGGATTTGTTTCATTTATAAGGCTGGATTTATTTAACAGGAAATCAGTTTCTACGAACTTCAACCTTCTGGTCTGTGTGCAGTGTTTATGGTGACCTATTATACTTTTGGCTTCCCTCTTGTTGTACCTTACCACTGAAAAACTAATAAATTCCAGCTTTAGGTTTGTTATTTTCTCAGTATTTTTCAGAGAGTCACATAATCTCTGACTTCATCCTGATTTTCATATGTTGGATATCCAAACGGCTGGAGGCTCTTAAGCTGCTCTGCGTCCTCTTATCAGACGAAGTTTGTGACCAATATTGCATTTTTAGGGGTGCTGATGGAACAAAACCTTCAGAAAAATTGCATTTTGTATTGGCAAAGCTCATCTAAGCAGAAAGAGACCTTGGCTGCTGTCCTGGTTGGCTGCTTGTCACTGTGAAGTGCTTCCCAGTGTGAAAGCATGAATCCCACCTGTTCAGCCAGGTGCACCAACTCAAGTGGCTTCCTGTGTGAAAATGTTTGGATCAGGACATATCCCTCCTTCGTCCACACTGTTTTTGCAGTTTTATTTTTGTCCACCTCTCACTTCACACTTACGGCTAAACCAGATTTCAAAATAATTCCACAAATTCTCCCTCCCGCAGGTTCAGCTGTTTGAGAATATGGTGGAGAACGAGACCAGCATCCAGCTCTACAGCCAGTATATGGAAGTAAACTCAGTTTCCCAGAATGCTATGGAGCGCTACAAAAGGCTGACCAACGGCATTTTTCTCAATGAAGTCATGAGGATCATGTAAGACTATCATTTTAATATTTTGTCTCTTTGCTGCATTGCTGCCATCCACAGACTCCAGTGAAATAAGAGGGTAAAATGGCAGATTTGGATGAGACAAATGAATCAGAAATATAAACTGGGTAAATCAAAAACATGACCATGAAAAAACTTTGATTGAAGAGAGCAAATATATTAAATATATTCTTCAGTGCACAATGCTTTATTACATTAAATAGCATAAGGAATATGATCTGATGTGTGAGGATATTAATTAATACATTATTTTGATATATCATACATGATAATGTAGACAGAAATATCTAAACATGTATAAGCTTCTGTTTAGTTCAGACTTTACAATTTTTTTCACCATTAAAAATGTTTATTATTCCCATTAAAGTCTAAAACAGACCTTATGTGTTAAGAACTGCATTATAAGTGATTAGTTCTGGGTTTTTAGGCTACAAGCAGGTGTTGCTTTCACCTGTCAAGGAGGTTCTTATATTTTACAGATAAAAAAAATAAAAAAATAACAATTTCCATTTTGGAAAGATCCAGGAAGAAAACACATGCTCCAATCTACAATTAGAAAATCATCAGTCATAAAGTTTTTCTTCCCATCTCTGGAGGCAGAACAAGATGAAAAGATGCAAAAAAGCTTCAAACAAACTGATGCTACACTGCTGTCTGTGTGATATTTATACCTTTATAATGAAGGTATTTAAAGATGTATTTTTTTACTCAAACTTTCAGATAATTATAGACAGAATCTTAACTGTACAACAGTCTTTGCTTTCAGAGGAGAGCGATAATTAGAAAGTTTAACCTTGCTCTGGCGTCCTGAGACAGAAAGATCTGCGTGCTGCATAGAGATTTAACTTTCCTTTTTAAACCTGTTTTTGCAAAGAAACTTTGTTTCTGTAAATTCACATGTGGGTGTTTTGAAAAGAGTAATTTTGCCTCAAAGTTTTCCTTGCAACAGAACCTAATTAAAACAAGCAAGTAGAATACAATATTTAATATTTTTACCCTAAA